CCTAGGTTAAGTCCGATTAGGGTCTTGAGAGATACGTCGATAGTTAGCGTTGGTTGGACCACCCCTTGTCTCTTTATTTTTCTCTTCCTCTCTTTCTCCTATGGTATTTTCATAAGTTTCGTATCATCTTTAGCCCACATCGTCATTTCCAATTCAATAAGAGCTGAAGCACTTCTAACTCGTTTGCACGTATTTTATTCTCAATAACCAATACGAATCACGAAACATCATATAGCTTAGGGAGGCGATTAGCTAAAAGAAATGTTCAGATACCTCATTCGAACATTTAACGAAAAATCTAAGGAGGATCGGTGCTTTTTAACCCTATAGTTAATCAATTTTGATTTTGTACTTGAAAATATTTCCATGATTATGAGAATTAAAAGTAAAATTTATGAAATATAACTTCTATCGCAGGCGGATTATCATATACGCAATATGCATATGCATAGAACTCTATATAAAATACATAATAGCCTTTTTGATCATACCAAGTAGATGGTGCATTATGCACGGAGCTGAAGTTGTGGAAAGGGAAATATTGATGGCTTTCAATTTTGTGGCATTGCCCGACACATGATGAACATGTAAGATCAAAATGCACCTACACAAATACCTTATTCTATTTTTTTTCCTTGCTGTTTGTTTCTTCTACTTGAAATAAAGTTACGATTATATTATTTCTACGCATGAAATATGTTTGATGCTCCTTTGATATATACTAATTTAGAATTTCCGCGCATACCGCACGCCGGTCAACGACTAATTTTAAGGTCGAACTTTGCGTTAATATTTGAATCGAAACAAGGCGGAATCTTGAATTCGAGGGTTCTCTAACTAAAATTCTTGTAATCAAGAGATCAAAAGTGGGAAGAAAAAGTAAAACTTGGTCAAACGCATAAGATGGAGATAAGTGGTGGTCTAAACTTGTTCTGCATAAGCTGGATCGGGTCAGGAGATTTCAATTAACCCAACCTAATAATTTGTACTTAAGTTACCAAAATGTGGGCCTTGATTTTTGGCCCAATATTTGGTTTTTCACTTATATTCAAGTTTGAAGCCCGTTCCACTTCCCCAAGCCTACCTCTTCTGCTATCATTTGAGCACACATTGCCAAAAGAGCCCAGAAAAGAATCTGCTTGGAAGATTTGTAAGGTCATTTGACAAAGTTAAAGAATAAAAATGTGGAATTGAAGCTAGTTATCTAAGAAATCCTTAGATATGACGATCAATCACAGTAGCGGGATAAACAGGGAAATAAGCCGAAAATAGGGATAACAACATGCTAGCATTTACGTGGTTTGATCCGAGTGCCGGAACCTACTTCATGGAAAGAGCGACAACGATGAATATATTATGAATTACGGAGATACAAGCTTAGGTCAAAAGTTCTCTCACACTATGAATTCCTTGCGGTGTTTAGCTCAATCTCTTAAATATTTTCCTCGTAAAACTCTCAGCAAAAAAAAAAAACCCTCTAAAAACATCGACAAGAGAGTTTAATATGTAATCTCTCTATTCATACTTGAAATAGGTCTAAGCGAGGCCTCAAATCGCGAATCTCATCCTCGCCGCCACCGTCGCAGGGACGGTGGCACTTTGACTTGAGTGGGTAAGTGTGTGGCGTAGACGTTTGAACTAAAACAGCATACCAATCTGTCAACATGCTATTAACACTCTGCATCGATCTTCGTCATCTTTAAGTCTTAAACTGAGTTTAGTTCACTAATGATATAACTCTAAAATGCCAAGAAAAACAACTACCAGTCAACATCCACAATTTCAACGCCCAAAATTCCAAAAGGTGTTTTCTTGTTCGCCCGACTTTTAAAAGCATTGAAATTTGGTGCGAAAGGAATCGTTTTTCTTTCGGACCATTCGTTAAGATTGTCAAATTTGAGCTCTTAGGAGGCCTCTAATTGGCTATGAATCCGGTCCAATCTCCGACACCATGTATTTTGAAAATATTGGGCGGTAGCTATGATTGTCTATATAAGGGCCATACAGGGGAATCGGAATGTTCAGATAGATTCCAAAGTGACTATTAAACTCTTACAGGGTCGGTTTCGAATTCCAAAATTTCAATATCAGGAAATACATGGTAGGTTTTAGGGTTATATGTTAACCATGTACCTGCACTAGGGATGTTCACAAGGGGGGTTTGGGGATTCCTAGGTTTGGCTCGAACTTATCAAGCCAGAGTTTTCGATGCACGGCTCGAACTGGGGGATCGGGCTAAGTCCTAATTTGTATTGATTCGGTTCGAGCCGATTCTAGTTTAGCCCAATGGACCCATATGGTCTAATTGTATAAAATAGCTTCAAAGTTTGGAGATTTAGGATTGAGGCATGAATTAAAACTCAAACACAACGAAGTAAAATGATCAAATTGAACTTGTTTGGTTCACCTAGTTTAACCCAGATATGTCATATTTATTCTGTGAAACTTCTATGGTATCTTGAGAGATGGATCTTCCGGTGTAACTTGGAAAAGGTAGTATGTGATGCCCCAAATTTTATGAAACTGATAGTTCCTAAGTTTCAAAGTCGTTTCAAGAACCTATAGAGTAGTTTTTTGATTAAAAAAATTTGGAACCAATACCTATAGGGTAGGTTCCCTATCAATCATCAAACATGCACACCTCTTATCTAAAGGGCGACGAGTTCAACACTCGATCCACGCACAAGTCACCGCTTCACTACTACAAACTTGGCCTTGCACAACAAGGGCTATAAATTGTTGTCTAGTCATTATGAATTGGTGGCTTGTGGGGTTGATCGATTCTAGAGTGGGTCGGTTCTCGCCCTTGGAAACAAACCGAGCATAGTCGGTTTGTAGTTTGTGGAATTGGGAATCGGCTTACCTGATCTTGCAACCTGTGATTTCCTTTTTCTTTTGGTTTCTTCTATTCCCTACAAGTGGGAGTTTCCCAACATTAAAAAAGTAGTTTACTAATAATGGTTTGCTTCCGAATAAAAAATAAAAAAGATTAAGAAATCTTGGCCAGTCCGTCAGTCCGGTTTCTTATGTTGAAACCGGGAACAGTACTAGTCCCCCAGAACCACCCACAAGCCAGAACTGGCCGGTTCAGTTCAACTTGATCCGGTTCCCGAGTTGGATTAGGACCAACGCAAACCCCTGGTAGCTTGTGGTTAGATGCTGCCTGTTGCCCCATGTGTATGTGGCCTTTGCTTTAAATCAGCTCAACGCTCTTTCCCCGCGAGCGTGAAATCCCGTCAAAAAAGACTGCCGCACTCCCAAAGAAAATCTGAACCAAAGTACATCGCTTTGCACCTCACCACAAAAGGTAACATGCAAAGCCCACCATCGAAAAGAAACGAATTAAGCACATGAACATTTAGTTTCATGAGTTTTCTCTAGAACCCCTCAATCTTTCTCTTCTCGAATGGATGTGATTGATAAGATTGGGAGGGTCCGGTGGCCACGGTGCTCTCGTACTAACTCATCACGAGCAACACGTTGTTAGAAAAATTACCAAAATAGTTTTAGATCTATTGCGTTTGTGTCAATTCAATCTTAAACTTTTTAATCTTATCAATTTAGTCTTAAATATTTTGATAATTTGCTAATTGAATCATTTCTGTCCATTTTGGTTGGAAATCACTAACGTGAACGCGGATCGTCCTACGTGACATGACTAGTGCTGACATGGACAATTTTTAAAAATTTTTTCTAAATTTTTTGAATTATTTTTTTTTTTCATTGTGGCTGATGAGGGTCACCAGCGACCCACACCGGCCACGGGGCTACTGGCGAGGCCCTTGTCGGCCTTGAAGGCCTTGCTCACGGCGCCACCAGCCGTGGGTGATGGCCTTCACGGCCGGCGACTGCTGCTACTAACCCTCGCCGGCAAAATGAAAAAAAAAAAAAGCAAATAAAAAAATTCAATTTTTTTTTTAAAATTTACAAAAATTGTCCAAGTCATTACCAGCATGATGGCCAGCATCCACGTCAACGATCGGCCGAAATGACTTAATTAATAAATTATCAAAATATTTAAAACTAAAATGACATTAAATACAATAAATTTATGATTTTTTTTTTATAATTCTACCGCACGTCGTCACAGTTGGTCAGACACATCATGTCGATAGACGAGATGGAGAGACACATGAAATTCACAACAAAAACGAATTTTCTCGTTTAGCAAGAGGACAAAAAGAGAAAGTAAAAGAAAAGCACGTTAGAAAAAAAAGAGAAAAAAAGTAAAAAAAAAAAGAAGGAGCAAAGCTTTTCTGACCCTATCAAGAGAAAGTTGCGAAATTCACTGATCAATACGATGATATCAACCAGTCCCGCGCGTGCTCATACTAGGGAGGAGGAAGAGTCAACGGGTCAAAGCCTAGGAATTCCTGGAGCTCGCATTCGCCGACGTTGGGGAATGATGATGCACTGCATAATTCTTACGTTCACATTTCATTTAGGTTCGGACCGGGTTGAGACCTATCTCACCCGTTAGTGGAATGTTCGGTTTAAGGTGACGACGGAAGATGAATTGCCCACACGGAGGGAGCTCGTCGCCGCAGCCCCATCGAGTGCGAGGGGAGAAGTCCGAGATGGACGGCACAGCTAAGTTCAGGTCTGTACTTCGTAGACCGACAAAGGTTTTCTGGAGACTCGGTGATATACTAGAGGAGGGGGATTGGGATCTGTCTCGTCCGTTATTGAGATATTCGGTTTAATGCGCCAACGAAGCACCAACTGCCCACTGGGCGAGCCTATCGCCACAGCCCCACCGAGTGTGAGTGGGGAAGTTCAAGACAAGTGACACATCTAAGTTGAGGCTCGTCTTTCGCAGACTAACTAAGGTTTCTTGAAATTTGGGATAGACGGGCAAAATTGAGGTTGTGACTTTCAATTTAGTGCATTAATCTTAGTAAATACATTGCATAACTCATTTTTTTTCCATACTGCTAAGTCAATTCCAACACTATCATCTTCACCTCTATATATAACTCGAGATATCATCTAAAACCATAGTCCAAATCCTCCTCCTCCTCCTCCCCCTCCTTCAATCTTTTTGCATTCCTCTCTCAGTTGGCCATCATCTATCAGAAATTCATGGACATTGATCAAGTCATGAGAAGCCAATACGATTCATCATCCTCAGTTCATGCTGAAGAAGTAACATTCGACGTGAGGAAAGGTCCTTGGACCGCCGATGAGGACGCCTTGCTCGCGAATCACATAAAGATCCACGGCGAAGGCCGTTGGAACTTGGTCGCTCGTTGCGCAGGTCATTTTTCTTATACTTCATCACATCGCGCGGCATGTATTATTTCGCATTCCTTTGTCGTTTAACCTAAGTCGAAAACCCTCACGAATCAGTCGTGTTTGCTGAAATTTTGCAATCGATATGATGTGCGCAGGATTGAAGCGGACCGGCAAGAGCTGCAGATTAAGATGGTTGAACTATTTGCGCCCCGATCTAAGGCGCGGAAATATGACTCTCGAAGAGCAACTGTTGATTCTAGGACTCCATTGTCGCTGGGGCAATAGGTAATGCACTTACACCCACTGAGATGTATTTTTTCTCATGTCTGCGTGCGTTTTCTGTCATCATAACGAGTTTTGAGAGTCTAACGTTTTTGCGATGATCATCTTTAAGGTGGTCGAAAATAGCTCAATACTTGCCCGGAAGGACTGACAACGAGATAAAGAACTACTGGAGGACGAGAGTGCAGAAGTTAGCCAAGCACCTCAAGTGCGAAGTCAACAGCAAGCAATTCAGAGACGCGATGCGCTGCGTGTGGATGCCGCGGTTCGTGGAGCAGATCCGCACTTCGGCGCAAGGCCCGTTGAACGGACTTACTGAGAACCCACGAACTCATGGGATCGGGTCGGAAGACTCGGTTGATGATGATCACACAAACTTGTTGCCCGAACTGTCGTCGAGTGTGTCGTCCGATTCTTTTTCGGATGCTCAGTTCAGTAGCTCACCTTCTCCTAATCAAGCCGGCGGGAATGGCTCGGACCGTTTCAAGCTCGGTTTGGGCGACGGCCCGGAACATTGGACCGGGTACTCGGAGGGGTGGCAACTGGGTGTGGATGCGGGAGAGCAAGAAGACAGCAATGGTCGTTTAGTCAGTGAAGAAGATTCGTTGGAGAGCTTGTGGAATGAGGAAAACGTATGGTTCTTGCAGCAGCAGCTTTTCGAGGAGGCCTTTCGCTTGTAGGTGAATTTTATATCATCAGGGCTGAAATTTCAATCCTTGAAGAGCAGATTAGTGTACAGAAGTATAAATATGGCACGACTTAGGGGTAGAAGAGCTGTTCGTTCTAAGTTTGAATGGAAGTTTGATTGGCCAATTGAACCTTGTTTTGCCAATGATCAATGGGTGTGATCATTCGAATACGATTGATTATGCTTTTGAGAATGTAGTGTAAATCCATCTTATTTCAAATTGGTTTGCAGCGTATTTTGGCAATATGTTTCTACGGTAACTCAATACTCAATACGTAGAAGGCGTTTTTCAGTAAGACGTGTAAAATTTTTGTCAATCATCTGTTGGAACTGGAACTCCCGTCATCCGTCAACAGTCATGGGTCCTTCTCAAGGGAAATCCTCGAAATCTAAAGTCCGACTCAAAGGGGTAAGCACAACTAAAAACACACTGTTAACAATAGAGCATATGATAAAACATGTCTGAGTGTGTCATAAAAAAGACTAAAACCGCCGTCCATATTAAGAAAGAGTTACCTGCTTTTGGTGCGAACCCTTTAAGCTCGACTTTGACATGGTTAATTTTGTGTCGTATCACGGGCAAACGGTTCGACTCTGACATGCTTAATTATGTGTCGTGTCACGTGTGAACCGGTCCGGGCGAAATTCTTCCTATGGTACTTCAGTAGGTGGCCGCCCTGATTTGGAATTGGATTCGTTCGATCTTCGCACGTTGTCAACGAGACCGGTCGATCCCAGCCCTGAGAAATCGAACTGAAACCCTTGGAAAATTCAAGTGTCTCGACATGGAATTTTAGGAAAGATGGATCAGATCTCGTACGGTTTTTTCCTTGGAAATGAACGAAAAAACGGGACAATTCAGTGAATGAAAATGGCCACCTCGATTGAAGCACTAACAGCCGCAACCCTTGAAAATTAACGAGATTTGGGCGATGGATTTTGTTGAAATTAAAGGGCACACGAAATTCTCTGTCTGCGTTGACAAGGACCCTTCTTTTCTTAAATTACCAAAGAGACATGTTTCCATTATAGAAAAAATGAAATTGATTTATTTTGTCGATCAATGTTAGCCAAGGAGATTACGTCGGAGGTGAACAAAGATTTGGTCCAATGGTAAGTGGGGAAAATGATATAAATGATCTTTAAACTTTAATTCGATGCGTAACGTGATCTCTAGATTTTTAATTTATTCAATATAGTCCCTAAACTTTTAGTACATGTTCAAACTAGTCCCGGACTATACGAAAATGTTTAATGTGGTCCATAAATTTTTAATTCGTTCAATATAAACCGAAATTTTTTTGTACATGTTTAAACTAGCCCCTGGAATATATGAAAATATTCAATGTATTGAACATTTTCATAGTTTGAACATGTATCAAAAGTTCAAGGACCACATTAAATAAATTAATAGTTTAGGGACCATATTGTATATTAAGCTAAAGTTCAGGGATCATATTGTACATTGAACCAAAGTTTAAGGACTATTTGTGTCATTATCCTATGGTAAGTGAAAGATTGTAATCACAGGACGGTCTTGATCGTGAGATCTAACAACGAATGAATCGTTCAATATTTTCATGGCCTTAAAAGCATGGAAATCATTTAAAGTTCTAAGCATCATGGCTTGTACAGACGAATTCTTCTTAATAAAGGTCTATATGAGTTGCACGCGCATCTCAACAAAATAGAATGCGTGCCTAAATCAAAATATCGGGTTTTTTTTTATTTTTTATTGTTTTAAGAGTTGCAATTGGTGTTCCTTTTGTTGTGAGGTGTTCGGTACCGATTAACAAACCGACCGGCCCTCGATCCTGTGTGCCGACCCTCCGATTTCGCAAACACCGAATAATTATCAAAACACACAAGTTCGCACTCGTGAGAGACATCGATCAGTCGAGAACATATGGCATTCACCATACATCTCACAAATGTTGTTTAATAATAGCTTAACTAAGGTCCAACATATCAACGTCGAAGTCACTTCGTCTGCTTGATTAGGAATATTAGTATTTTCCGATATTAGTAACGGTTTTTTTTGCTGGTGATATGATAAATGTCGAGATATGCGTTTGGCATGGACTAAATGTTGATGGTTTGTTATTTTCTTAAGTTAGAACGGAATCTAGAATATCGAATTGTGTTCTAACTGGCCATTTTCGAATCCGGGTAGACTAGGACTATGAACCGGTCCATTTGGGTAATGTGCACCTGTTGATGAGATTGCAGTCAATGTCGCTTACATTGTTTTCAACACCAAAATGGCTTCTGAACCATTCATGCCATCAATTATAGTTTACTTGGACTTGGAAAAGTCTAATGAAGCAACATTGACAAAAAGTTCCACATCTTTTGGGCTGGAGATAGATTGGTGCGCTCGTATAACACTTCGTAAACTTTATTGATCAGGTAAAACAAGAGTCAAAATCACCACGACATAAAATTACCTTCACTTGGCATTAAGAATCGAACCTGCGTCGTATGCATGATTCGCACCCACGTGTCTATTTTCTAACCACTTAACCAAACTCGTACTTTCCCCTCTCGCGGTTTTGAACCGTGTTTTGTGCTACTTTCACATTTTTAATTATGTCTAACCTGAACAGAGGTTTAGAGGGGGAATTGCTCGATTAGTCATAAACATATTATATTAATGCCAAGTCCTAACATGGTGACAAGTCACGTAAGATGACCAGTGACGATTGGACCATCACGTCAGGTATTTTCGGTAAAAATTAATCGGGAGAATTACATTGGAATTTCATGTAAAGGTTTAAAACTAAATTAACAAAATTGAATAGTTTATGACTAAAATTGGCATCTAGACAATGAGCTTAGGTTTAATTGAACAATTTTCCCGAGGCTTACATGTTATTTAATATTTAAATACTTCCATACTTCTCCTCGCACATGAACTGCAACTTGGCTTAAGTTTAAAGAGTTAATATCACGAAAAACTCCAAACTGGTATACCAGCTTGGGATTTTACCTCCGTTTGTCTTAGGTGTACCAATTTGCGATTTTTTGTGATATTAATCTAATTTAACGAAAACTAACATAGGGCAAATTTATCATAAATGTATCATTTTTTTCGTGACATTAACCCTAAGATTAAAGTGTGAAACACTTTGCGCAAAAACTTAGGGTTTCTCTTTAGCACAGGAGCTTTAGTCTAGATTACCGGATATAAGAATTGGGCTCTCAAATGAAGCCAACCATCCAACGCCCTTCACAAGTATTAGGCTGCAAAACTTGCTACAATGGCCCATTAGTCATTGCCGGAAAGAGAGAGAGATAGCCGAAAGTTTTAAAAATTAATTTTATATTGAGAAATTCAGATATAAATCCATGTGATTCGAAATAATTTTCACATGTTCATGTATCCACGTGATTATTGTTGTTTGCGTTAAAATTTACAAGGGTAGGAGGAATACCAGGCATGTCATGTTGATTGTTGGTCGACATCAAGAAAGTTGGAAATTTGAACGCACCCCCCAATTTTTGTGCGATAAACTGACGACTGATGATTGAGAAAGGAACAAGAACTTGATCTTTGAGTTTGAATCCGAGGACCACAGAGATCAGAACCCTCATTCGTGGGCTCTCGAAGTTGATGGCGAGAGATTTCGAGCGAGGAGTTTGATTTTGTCTACATTGAATCTACGTTCCGCGAAAGTAGATTGCATTAAATTGAAGAACAGGAAAGTAGTATGAAAGACAGTACGATTACACGATAAAAAGATTGATACGTGGTTCGGAGAACCCTTATCAAACCTTATCGAGGAGTACACAACACCTATTTCATTTGTGGTTCAAGAAACCCCTACAAACAGAACTTCTAGTGAGACACAACAAAAACACAAAAAGGACACAGCAAATCGTAGTTGCACATTCTAGCAAAAATAAAAAATAAAAAATCGTAGTTGCACTTTTGAAATAAAACGACTGCTAAGGACTTGTCACTGAAAGGCAGGATCTTATCTACTGTAAACTTCTCTCTCTTCAATCTGGCTAATCTCCATCAAACGCTGAATTCTAACAAGTTTGGATTCTTTTTTTGTGTGAAAAGGATAAATCAAAGGACCTTCTAATTAATGAAGTTTCATCACAGCCTAAACCTTTCATTATCCGTATATATAGTTTCGGTCTCTGCCTGATGTACGTATATGGGTCATATTTTAAGTAAGGAATACTTTTATAGGTATCGAAAGGAATGGGATTTGGCCCAAGATATGATATGGGAATGGAGCAATCAGTGCAATTACTAGGTCCCTTCATCTACCTAAGTAGCAGTGAAGTGAACATGCCCAAAATTGGCAAGCTCTGCAGAATTGGCCCTTCTCTGGAATCCATTATCTTTCTAAGCCATATGGGTCTTTTTTGGTACTCCATGATATGTTATTTAAATGTTTGTGGTGATCATGAGAGGAAGCAAAAAGAATCAGTTTGGAAGTTGGACTACAGCTATCTCTCCACCAATGTGGGATAGGATTGGCTTCTGATAGGTGGAAAAAAAACAAGAATTGATGCAGTGCCCTATTACAACACGACAGATTATGAAGAGGGTCCCCATGAATTTGATGAAAAATGTACATGTGATGGAGTGGGCACTGATGGATTCTCTGCAGTGGATAGTGGTGTCAATTTGCGTGTAGGTCACCTCAAAGTGTATGCTCTAAAATGAGGTAAGCATGATGTCACCATGATTGCAGAGGAGAGAATTGAAACTATACTATACTTGTATGTACAAGAAAGTACATGCATTTGCACACAATGCATGTGATACGTTGAATTTGATGGACATTCCATGGGTGACCTAAGTAAAGAAATAGCTCACTCTTAAAAATCTCTGGAGAACATTGTAATTTCAGCAGCTGATGATAAGCAGGAACTTAAAGCATTGGAAACAGTCTTGTGAACAACTTCCAGTTTTTGAGAATAGGATAGCTCATGCAAGATTATGTAATTCATCATGTGAATTATGCTTCCAACTAGTTCAAAGTGACATTTATTGGTATGGTCATGCTTGAACTTCCCATAATTTAGAGATAAAGACTAAGCCACAGCTCTTGTCATACTATAGTCTCTTCGAAAATTATTTGAGCAATTCAATATGGATTTACGAAAGCCATTTCATGAACTGTGGACCCTTTTCTTGCTTCTACAATTCATTGGTTTCTTCCTCAGCTGGGTCGACTATGATGAGAAGCAAGAAAGAGAAGGTCAATCTTGTAAATAAAACTCAAGATTTCCACATTCTTTTCCATGAAACTTTCATTCCGCTATATATAATGCATCCATCTCCATCAAGAATCCAACCTTGTCATACCAACACATGCATAACTCTGCTTATACAATGTCTAGCATTTTCTCACGCACCCAAATCTTCCTCTTTCTTCTCTCCCTCTGCATTGGCAGATTCTCACTGGCTTCTTCATCCTCGAGGGAGGATGATGGTTTCCGCAGATGGGTGTCGTGGAATGTTGAAAACTACCGTCGTGAAACTTCATTGAGCGCAATGTCGACCGCTCGAGCTCCCGGTATTCCGGGCAAGAAAGTACTTGATTGGAAGCTGTGGAAAGCAGAAATGAACAAGGTACGTAAGACGGTGAGCCAAGACGGAACCGGTGATTACAGGACGATTTCGGAAGCTCTTAACAGTATTCCTGTGTTCAACACCAGGAGGGTCACTTTGGTGATCAAGCCTGGTGTTTTTAGGTAATGTCTCTCTTGTTTCACTTTGGTGCAATTGCACTCTACCACTTAGGCCTTGCTCTGACATTTGGTTGAAGTTTCTAGTCTAGAAACTTGAAAGCGGTTCATCATTTTCTTAAAATTGGATTGATCGCCACTGCATGATCACTATTTAACTAGAAGTTCATGCAAAACTTTTAGGGTTTCAAAGTTAAAAAACTGCATTTAAAGCTGGTAATAAAAAGAAGGTGAAGATCTAATATGTAGTTGCAGATGCTAGGTAGGTTGCAGAAGATGGATTACTTGAAGGCTTATGAATGGAAGTCCTAATGATACGGTCTTTCATGGAGAATGCAGAGAGAAGATTAATGTACCGAGAAATATGCCATTTGTGACATTTTTGGGAGACTCAACTAGTCCGCCAACAATCACTGGGAATGACACGGCATCCTTGACTGGAAGAGATGGAATGCCATTGAAGACGTTTCAGAGTGCGACTGTCGCGGTTGACGCGAACTATTTTGTCGCCATCAACATCAAATTTGAGGTAACTGCACGACTATACCTCTATCAGATATTATATCGACTTCATATATCATGTAAGTAGTTTTTCAGTCCAACCAGTGGCATGGTCCTTTATACATCCTAACGAGATGACTCGATTCTCATCGCAACTAGGCCGAACATATATTCCCGCAGTTGATCTGTTTAGCCGAACGATCCTACAGGTTGTTACACAGAACTTTTGCACGTCAAAGAGACTGAATCATGTAAACTTTGTGTCGCCTAATTTCATGGTTTGAAATTATTCTCTCTGCAAAAACTCAGTTGCCTCTTTCTTTTCAATTCCTTTTTGGAACCTAACAGAGAGAAATTATGCTTAGGCCTCAAACTCAGTACTTGAGATGAAGAACTTGTGGAGGAAAACAGAAGATGGAGCCAGTGAATTGTCTGTTTTCACAATAAAAGAACAAAAAGAACAGAACTGAGGCACACGTACCTCATTATGAGCATAGAGATTCCATCTGCTTGCCAAGGAACAACCCAACAATCCAAAACATCTCTCATTTTTTTTAACCATTTGAGTGGATCAAAATCACACTAAGTTCACGGGTTGTCACGAGAAATGCAAGTACTAATTTACACTTCCTAAGATCAAAGGGAATGGCTGCTCTGCTATCAGCATTTTCACTAAAAAATTACATTGTCTTCCATGGATTTGCAAGCTCTGGTCCATATTATGACATCCAATCCTACTACGAATAAGATGCGTTGTGTTTTTGTTCCCTCCTCCTTTTGGTTTAGTACTGAGAATTCAGATGAAGAATATGTCGTCCTACTTCCACATAGTAACGCTATTCATTTGATAAAAAGCAGTCTGATTCTATTCCTGAGAGACCCAAACTTAAAACCTATTTGTTGATAAAACATTAGACTCTAGGAAATCTATTATCATCATAGTTTTAAGGTTGAACCACACAATACTCTCAGTGAAACCACTCATGGCGCAGAACACAGCTCCACATGAGGTCGGATCGATAGGAGACCAAGCAGTGGCATTGCGGATCTCGGGCACGAAGGCCGCATTTTACAACTGCAGCTTCATTGGGAACCAAGACACTCTCTATGATCACAAGGGCCTTCACTATTTCAACAACTGCTTCATCCAAGGCTCTGTAGACTTCATCTTCGGCTATGGCAGATCTCTTTATGAGGTACTTTCATGCCAATTTAGATCATCTGTCCTTTAATTGCGAGCCTACAGAATGACTAAACACGGTATTATCTGTGTAGAACTGCTATTTGAACTCTGTCGCCAAGAAAGTGGCCTCTCTCACGGCTCAAAAACGCACGAATGCCTCATTGGCAAGCGGGTTTTCCTTCAAGAACAGCACCATCACAGGGAGTGGCCTCATCTACCTCGGCAGGGCATGGGGAGACTATTCAAGAGTCATTTTCTCTTACACTTTCATGGACAGGGTGGTTGTTCCCCAGGGATGGAGCGACTGGGGCGACTCGAAGCGTGATGCGTGAGTTCAATACACAAACCCAGAGAAGGCTAAACTAAGGGGATACTAACGGAACTGTTTTGCTTTTAACTAGGGGCATAGCTTGAAGCTCTTGGAACAGAACAAAGAAGAAGTCCTCGGCAGATTATTTTGAAAACCAAAAAATCGTTTATAAAGCAACCGTAAAAGCTGAAGATCATCAACTCAAACAAGCAAATATTTGAAAAATGAATATCGACAAATTTCTCAAAACTTTTCACAGTAGATAAGCATGAAACTAAGAACAGAAATGACGGAACCCATTTCTAAACCATCTAAGCGAGTAACCCTGAAAAGGAAGGAAAAGTGTGGGAGTCTATTTTCACTGACAAGAAATAATCTGTTTCTTTGAGACAGACGAGTCTACTACGGAGAATACAAGTGCAGTGGACCTGGAGCTAACATGACCGGAAGAGTTTCATGGGCAAGAATGCTGACAGATAAGGAGGCTCAGCCGTTCCTAGGGACTTCCTACATTGAGGGCGATACTTGGCTCCCGAGCCCTTGAATTTCTAGGAACATATGTAATCTCGCAAGAGAAAGCAAAGAAACTACTAAATGCTCGCAGATTTATTATTCATGCATGCCAAAGATCTTCATTTTGACATTTCTCTTTCTCTCGGCCCTATTGAAAGAATTATTGCTGCAACTTAAACCAAGCTGACTCCTGTCATAGAGCACATAGGACAATCATAAATTGCTCTACCGTAGTTCTTAGCAGATAACCCCAGGGATCCCAGATAAGGGAGCCCTAAGATAGCCGCCTCTGGTAATATGCTCGCCCGCAACGTAACCCAACAGATATTTTAGAAGTTTAGAACCAAGCGAGCAATTCCCCTACAGTATCATCACCACCATAGAGTTTAACCACCAATAAAAAATAATATAATGAGAATAAAATTAGAAACATAACAGGAGTACATAAATCGGGCGACATCAAAGAATGAAGAGAAGCACGGATGAGCTGTAATCTTTCTTATCCTTTTGTTTGTTTTGGCCCAAAGATAACCTGCGATTATTTCACGGACTACACAAAGCCCTAAAGTACAACAACCAATCGAATGTATCAGAATGATCCAAAGTGTAACTTTTAGGCAGATCAAATGTAACAAACTCTTAGTTACTGAAAATGTACAGAAGACCTCGTCTTCTCCCTATTGATAGGAACATTAATTTAGCTCTCCCCATACTCACAGGAAGCTCTGATGTCTTCCCGAAATGCTGCAATGCACCAGATCAATTCTTTTTGAGCATCACCGACTGTAGGTCCATTATCTTATTGATATCCTGAGCAGGAATCCATCTGGAGAAAAAAAGAACTAGTCATAAGAAACCCATTCAGGAGAAACTCACGTACAAATCACTCATCAATAATGAACAAGATGAATAGTTGCTTGGTATCTTCTTTTCTGTATGCAAGTCCACTAAGGGGAAATCCCAAAAACCTCCAGTCTTAGAGTCGGTCTATTGCTCATATGCATATGCCCACAGAATTTTCAATTAACAAGGGAATTGCAATCAACAAAGTGACATCTTACTGTCTTATCTCACCTATATCGTGTGATCTAGCAAATTATTTGTGGCAAGCTAGCCAGTGAACACAACATTAGTAATATCAGGGAACTTCTCCTTGATTGCTGCTTTGATCCCAGACCCAATGGACTCAGGTCCCACGTACTTTACAAGGCAGTCTTTCGCCTCCACAGACAACACCTCGACGCTTCCACCATAATTTGCAATAGCTGGTCTCAATATGTCGAGATGGCGATTCACTGCCTGCATTTACCAAGTGTTGTCATGACCAGCAAGTGAACTTACCCTAGTTTCGCACATGCACGTTTTATTTTCCTTTAGGTTGGCAAAGAACTTACCTCAGCAGTAGTCTCCCTCACTTCATCATCATATACCTGACGGATCTCTTTGACTGCATCACCGAATTTTTCCTTAAGTACCCTTTCAATTCCCAGCTGCATGGTGGTTGTTGAACTGGGACAGCTCTCACATGCCCCTGAACAGTCAATTCGGTTGAAGGGAATTCTCAAATTTGTTTAATGAAAAGTCCTCAAGAAGCGGACTTTAGAATTACACATGCTTCAACACAGAAATCCACAGGCTCATTTAAGTGAAGCTTTAACTCTATAATCATGAATCCCACAGCGACGGAAAATACACATTTCCTGCTTATGGTAGCAAGCTTCACCAATAAGGCTGCCAGATTATTTCGAAGAATCCAAACGCAGAATAACTAAAAGCCAAGTCTCCTCCTGCTATATCACTAAAAAAAGAAAACAAAGCAATGTTGAACAAACATGGAGCATAATAGATCGGGTAAAGCAAATCCTTCGAAACAGATAGGCATGAAAAAGCGAGGCATGATCAGTTCTGAACATCCAAAAAATATTTTCTTCTATGCCGTCTGTATATAGACGAACTCTATTTCCCCCCCTCATCATGTTTACACCAATTTCCATACTGCTATGTTATTCGAGTTCAATTGCCAGGATTAAGGAATTTAAATGCAGGCAAGGATGGCAACAGAGACAAACTTATCATCCCACTTAAATAATTGCCCAGTTCAAGTTATGTATAATCAGAAGCTGAGCACAGTAGTTAAGTTGCACAAAACCATAATCAACAGATACAAAGAAATAAGGTGCCAATAGACCAGCTCTAAACACTCCTCTTGATCACTCTACCGATGAAAAATTGACCTCACCCACAATTCGGTCCACGAAAGCAAATTCAACCAGCTCGCCGTAATTCAAGAAAAGCCAGAAGAAAGGAACTGGGTCAATCACGCTCTCACAAAATTTCCTCAAGAAAGAATCTGGAAATCAGCAAAATTGAAAAATTTCGAAACAAAGAGGAGCAACTCGCCACCGACCTTGGAGCCTGAGAGAGACGACGCCATCTTCAACGGAGACGACGTCGACGTTCCCGCCATCGGCCATCAAGTAAGGCCTGACGTCCTCGAGGACCAGGTCGACGTTCGGGGCCGTGAGGTCGAACTTCTGGGCAGAGTAGAGCCCCGGAGGAGGAGAAGCAGCAGAGGAAGAAGGAGAGGACCCAGCCGGTGCGCTCGAGCTCGAAATTCCGGAGGACGTCTTCAACGGCGATTGGCTGCGATACGAGAATCTGGGTCGTGGAGGGAACGGAAGACGAGGCGGGGGGTTGTGGGATGTGGACGGAACCGGCGGACGAGGAGGTGGGACTCGGTGGAAGTTGGCGGTCGCCATGGACGCCATTTTCTTGGTGGGTGGAGGACGAAGGCGTGAGAGCTTTGGAATCGAGAGTTGGTAGGGACGAACCGAACTGGGGCGTATCAAGACTGCCTAAACTAGGATGAGCATGATCCGAGTGGACGATTTTTATTATAAAATCGAGCATCGCTCACTAAAGATCAATTCCAAAAAATTGGAATTGAGAATCGTCCATTGATTCTTTGGATTCATCCGGAAATCGGACCATTGATTCAGTACAGTTCCTGGGTAAATTCGTGGAACCGGTCTCACTAGCCAAAAACAGAGACGGAAAGACAAAAATGGAGACGGAAATAGAGAGTCGGAGATAATAAGGTGAGCATCGATCGAGAAGAGAAAGAGAGTGAGAGTGAGCGTGAAGAGAAAGCGAAAGAAGGTATTTCTCGATTTAATGTGAGGTTATAAGCGTCAAGAGAGTTAAGTTTAGTTTAGGAAAAATTAAAAATTAAATAAATATATTATATTTATTATTATATTACCAATCTGATCAGGGTGGGCAGGCAAGCGGTTCCACACATAAAATTAGGAATAGGACCGATATCCACTGGATCCGATCCGATTCCAGGCAGTCTCGGGCGATCTGGGCGGTTCCCGATTTTTTTGCACACCCCTAGTTTGAACATCTTAAGAAGAAATCCACATTTTTTCTTTTATTGTGTTTAATATTTAAAAGTTTGATCAAAAGTTAAATTCCCTATTTTTATTGTGTTTGAAATCTAAAAGTTAGATCAAAAGCTAAAAGTAATGCCATTTTCAAATGGGTTAATAGTACGAAGAATTCCAAACTGGTACACCTATGAAAAATTCAACTCCGTTAGTTTTTATTAAATTTTACCGTTAAATTGCTGAATTGATGACACGTGATAGTTAACGAGTGTACCAATTTGGGTTTTATCCTCCGTTTATCACAGGCGTATTAATTCAATTTAACGAAAACTAACGGAGGGTAAATTTATCACAAGTGTACAAATTTAGGGTTTTTTGTGGTAAAAAAATTAGTTTGGGATAAATTTGTCATAAATATATTGGTTTAGAATTTTTCGTATTATTAACCTTTTTAAGGGATGAGAATTTTAGGGAAAACTGCGTAAAGAGTTGCGTTCCAAACTTTTTAATCAGTGCAATTAACTAGCATATTTTTAACCGAATTATTGAGTACCGAATCTTTTGGTTCAGTGCAACCTATTCTTAACCTTCTACCAAAAGTCCGATGCGGTTATAAATTTATTATATCTTGACTTGTTATGGATATCCCATTTGAATAATCCGCGTATAATTTTTGGCTCAAACTCAACGGAGCGAAAATCATATTGGAGATCTCAATAACTTGAATTAACGGAATCAACATTTTGATATAGTTTAAAAATTATATCAAATATAGTTTAATAATTCAAAAACTATATCGGATAAATTAAAAATTCAAGAACGTGATATTGCGTTTTTGGATGAAAATTCGAATTATTCCGATCCTTTTTTCTTCTGAGATTTTTGGCGGAACTATCCTGCATATTTTGCACGGCGCGTCAATAGAAAAACCCAATCCTACCCTCCCGCCAGTCACTTTCTCCCCCCCTCACCCCCAACACGCATTCATCGGTCGGCGAAAGCTCGCCGTCTCTGCACCGCCCTCCGGCGGCGATCGTCGGCGTCGCCCCGCTCTCGCTCCGGAACCGGCGCGCTTGGAGAGCTTCGCTCACCGGCCGTTCGTCCTTCTCCGTTTCCTCCCCCTTCGTCTTCAGCGCTCCCATTTCGCGCTGTTCCTCCTCAGTAGCCGGGAGCTGCTAGGGTTTCGCTCGCGCTGCCTGTCGGGTATGGAGCTCCTCAAATGTCGGCGCCAGAAGCTGGTCCTCTCCAAGGGCTCGGCAGTGGAAGTCTCGCGCGGCGACGGCGGCGGCGGCGGCGGCTCGAGGGGGGCGGCGTGGTACGCGGCCAAGGTTGTGGACGTGGAGCCGCCGCCGCCGTGGAAGCAGTCCGGCAAGCTGAGTAAGGTTCAGAGGGTCTTGGTGGAGTATGAGCAGCTGGTGAGTGAAGGCGAGCCTAAGCCTTTGGTTGAATCGGTAGAGACTCGGTGCGTTAGGCCCCTTCCTCCGTCGCGCGAGAGTCAGCAATGCAGCTTCGAGTTGGATGAGTCGGTCGAAGCGAAGTGGAGGAATGGATGGTGGCATGGGTTTGTGAAGATGGTTTTGGAGGACTCGCGGTATTGCGTCTGTATCGACGGTAGGGTAGTTGATGATGTGTTTGAGAGCAGCGATTTGCGGGAGCATTGGAGCTGGATCAGGGGGAGATGGTATCCCACCGGGAAGAAGGAGAAGAATGAGCAGGTATACAATGAGGGTTGGGGTCTTTTGTGATTTTCCCAAGTGGGTTCTTGGATGGTTTCTTTGTTTTGTGATTTTTCATGCGACTACACCACAAAGCTCTCTTTGGTTTTACTAATTCTAAGTGAAATAGAGGGTTTTGATTTTATCAAGTGGAATTGGTGGGTTCTTGATATTGGAGTACATAATCCCCTATTAGTAGGTTTTTTTATTTGCTGTATTAGTTTTTGCATCAGGACCATAATTAGTATTAAAGCCACTACGCGTGTGTGGATTACTCTTCCTTTTCTTTTGTCCATTAAGGGCGCTAACTTTAAGGTAGTTGTCTATTATCATACACTACCGCAATTTGATGGTGGGGTGTTATCCATGATGTGTACTGTTTTGTGGCGATCTCTCCATGGTGTCTTTCGTTATAATTTCTCATGATGTTGACTTCTAGAATTGTTTTTTTTTTTTGGTAAGGGACTTCTAGAATTGTTTGACTTGATATTTTCTTAAAAATCTCTCGTGTTTTGTAGTGTGTGAATTTTGCATTTTGTCCTTATCGGATCTTTAAATGCTTTCTTGGATCTATGTTTCTGTCAAACTATCATGCCTTTCTTTTGTTTATGACTTGAAGTTCTCGTATTACTTCCCAAAATGAGGCTGCTAAATAATGTATTTAACTTGCAAAGAGAATGGATTTCTAAAATTTTATGTGATTGTACTATTGTAGTCTTCGCTATTAATGCTCTCGTAGATAAATCTCAGATCTTTTCTGCAACATGTTTTGCTTGAGCTTAAGCAGCAGTAGCTCTTAAAGGCTAGGGATTAAGGTGATTGAATTTTATCGTTGAACATGGAAGAGGTTGGCTAAACCCCGTCCTGCATCATCTCCTCATGTCCCCTCCCTTGGTTAGGACAAATTGTCAGCTTCGATGTCTACTCATGGTACCATCAGATTGTCAGCTTGATCGGACTTATTTGCTACATGCAAAAAGTGGTTTAATTTTGTGTGCTTGTCTCAGCTACCCCCTGCTGCATGCACTTCAAGTAATATCTGCAAACTGTATATTAACCAAATGGAACCGCATGTATCTATGGCTTGCACACGAGGAGACAGTAACAAATGACGCAATTTTAGTGGAGGAGTTTTATATCAATTGTGTTTAAATACTTTACCTTCAGAAGTTTCTTCTGTTTGTTTTTGTATAATTTTCTTTGAATGACAGCATTTTTTGGCTTTGTGACTTGGCGATTCTCTTGAAGAGTAGTTGTCTTATGAGTTCAATACATGCAGACTGGAAGGAAATGATTTGTTATGCATTAGACGTCAAAATTTTGAATTTTCCACAGTTTCTATGCTGGAAGAGTTAATTTTATCATGAACAGATGGGATTGGAAGATTTAATTTATTTTTGTGATACTTCTTGATTTTAGGAAGCTCCTTCGACTTTATACAATCAAGGGCCATTAGAAGAACCGTGTGTTAGTAAGGATATGCCTATCGTTGGAACAGATGTTTTGGAGGACAGCACAAAAGTGGAAGCCACTGTTTCCTCATATTCAGCGAAGAATACGGAGGTGCAGCCACTTCCACGGACTTTGAAGACTCCCTATGCCTTGCGACCAGCTAGAAAGATAAAGCGAGGAATCTTGATTGGAAATGCAGCAAGTCGACAGCTTCTGAAGAAACTAAGTGAAGGCACTGCAAAGGGGCCATCAGTTGCAGCAGATCAGGTGAGAGAGCTGCTTATGGAAGCATCAAGAGTGCTAAATGGTACAGCCAAGTCTAAAAAAGGAATCTCCGGTGGTGGAAGGTTAAAGAAAACCGTAATTGTTGATGATCCTTCTGTTAAAAGTGTTGCTGGAATGGTGAGCTGGATTTCTCATGTTGTCCTTCTTAACTTTTTTCTTTCTAAATATACAAGCATATGCTCTTATAGAGAGAAACTTGACAATATTGAGTTAGATACATTTCCAAGTGACATTTGCTTCTGTGGATGTTCTGATCTATCAATATAGAGAAAGATGAAGCAGGTTGTTCTTACTCCAGAGAATAGCACATATCGAATTATGGGGTCCATGCAAGTGTTGTGGTTGCATATATTGGATTCTGCGTGCCGGTTGTGTGAAAATACACATTTTAGGAAGAAATCGATGCTGAATACCATAGAAGAGTCTTTCAAAAGTTGGCTACCTTTAAGAGTTTTGTTAAGCTTGACTGTTTTGATCGGGCCATAATTTGTTTGCTTTCTCCCTGTTGTAGTTATAGAAACAGTAGCCGGACTGGTTCCTGTCAAGTGGGTTCTATTTGTTTAATGAGAAAATGTAATACATGAATATTTGCAGCTAGGTCAGTACAACATTTAGTTATTAAAATGATGCCTCTGTGAGTTCTGGTATCCTGGGGGCTTCAAATGACGTTGAGCAACAGGCTTTTTACATGGTTTTTTTGTCATTATATGGGGTAAATGATATATATTTAGTCAGCTACAAGGTATCTGTCTTATAAAAACTATCATGAGACTTTTAAAAAGACGTAAGCTGAAGATTTTAGTGGTAAATATTCTTCAAATTTTCATTTTAACATGATGTGCAGGAAAATGAGGATCAGAAAGCAGTTGAATTCAATGACACTATAAAGTTTGCTATTCGAAGAAGGGGGAAATTTGCTATCTCGAAAGCTAAATACTCGAACACACACAAACCAGGTATATGATTTTAAAGCATTAATTACAGTACTATTAGCATAAATTTTTATCTTAGCTGAAGTTTTACTCATGTATTTGCAGGTAAGGAGGACAATGCTGGAAGTGCTATCAAGAGAGTTGTTCAAACTTTAATGCAAGAAGACGGTTTTCCACGATTGAATTGCGTCTTAGGGTTGCAAGCTGAAGGAGTTGCAGATACGGGTCAGCTTCCTAACAAAGAGTTGGTGAGGCTCCTCCACAAGTTAAATAAGGGCGCAATGATGCTCTTTTGAGGAAACAAGAAAGTGATAGAGGACAAGAAACAATAGGGAGGGATACCAGTGGGCCTCCTTTGATGCAGATACAGATGGCAAAATTAAGCTCTAGTTTTTTCATAGATATGGGGAACTCAACGTCCCGTATGTGATGCCTTCATTACTTGTCAATTGTGTGGAACCCAGCTTTTCATTTATAAAGGCACACTGATCTTATTTAAGCTCTAATTTTCTCGTAGATATGGAAAACTCAATGTCCCTTATGTGATGCATTTAGTGATTGTCAATTGTGTAGAACCCAGCTTTTCATTCATAAGCACACTGATCTTATTTGAGATAGCTATGACTTCAACTCAGTCCCATAACGTAGACTGTGTTAACTATTAATCTCTAAGGCAGACCTCCCTTTTATTAGCTTGGCGTGCCCAGTTAGAGAGGCTAGCTGGGTGCTTCTTCAGGACTTTTGTTGTCCCTCTTACATGCTACTTTATGGTAGTCTTGCAGGTGAAATCCTGATACCTGTTCTCCCTTGTGCAGGGTAAAAATGAGCAGAAGTGCGAGGGAAAGAGTCACAAAAGGAAGAGAAGAAAGCCACAGAAGTTGGTAGTCGTGAGACCTGAGGTTCCAGAGACAGTGAGACCTGAGGTTCCAGAGACAGTGAGGCCTGAGGTTCCAGAGACAGGTACTCAATGACACTAACGCCATCAAAACATTGTAAGAAACAAAACAATTGAGAGCGTTCTCCTAATCTCCACCGCGCCCCCACACACCCCCCCCCCCCCCCCCCCCCCCCCCCCAAGCACACCCCCGCACGCGCGCACAATTAGAAAAGGGAGATAACAAGCCAGTGATAACCTACCACTTAATGCACTAATTCTTGAGGACCAGATACTTTCTGAAAGATAAAACATGAAGGTCTAAGGCCGTCTTCTCTTGCGGAAGTAAAGTTGCAAAGAGAGTAGGGATGAGAGGAGTAAATGAAGAGATAGAGAAGTTTTCTGTTTTCTCTGTGTTTAAATAAATGAAGTAAAAGGAATGGGAAGTGGAGAGATAGTTTATATGGAAATAAAATGGAGGGAACAATTGAAATTTACTGTCATACCCTTCTGGTATGTAACTCTGCAAGCATATATGTCCTTTCTGTCAATATAGATTAGAGTACAATACCGACATCGGGAAGTAGAGGTAAAAATAGCAATTGCTCAACTATCCTTATTAGGAGGAAATAGAAGTGGCGGTCTCATTTGGCAATTTTCCCTGTCCGGTCCTCCATTCCACTTTACCCTCTGTCCCAAGAGTATGAACTTAATTTCCCCATAACTCCTTCCCAAGATCGAATTCTTTTCCCCTCACTTTTCATATCGTGCCAAACATGCTGTAAAAGATTTAATCATTGTATGCTCCTAGCTGTGATCTACAGAAGCGTATAAGTATGTCTGATGTAGGCATGGAGCACAATGTAACCAGCGCTGTGGTGGTCGGTGAACCAATTTCAAAGGATTATGCTACCTGGAGAGTTCAACCATCTTCAAGCTTGGGAGTACTTCATTCTGGTAGGGCGATAATGTCCAAAGCATATTGAAATAACTCACATGCCTATATTTGCTGGCCAAGTGAATTGGGTTTGGTTGCCTTAGCAATTAGTAGATTCGTCGCTGCCACATTAATAAGGAAGAATTGAACTTTCAATCAACTTGGGGAGTGAATTCTTTTGACTACTTGGTCGAAATGGTGAATTCTTTAGACACACTTTTGACATTTTACTAGGGAAAAAAAAAATTCTTAGCAATTTTTGATTGCTTGTTCTGCGTGGATGCAGAAAATATTACAATATGCTCCCTCTTCCAACTTTCCTGAGAAAGCAAGCTATGTAGCATGAACAATTTCAATGCGCATTTCTTCGTCTTTGACACGGATCACTAATGGTTAATTTTATCAATAGCAAGAATTTATTGGATGGTCACAGATAATGGCGTCCAAATTCACCATATCCTGGGAGATTGTCAATGTGGTTCTATATTTGTGGTTTGAGATCTCTATCATTATATTGCAGGTGGTCCAGATAAGTCCAGAAGGGAAGGAGCCAATGGTTCTGGGAATTTCAAGAAAAACAATGACTTATGCAATGCTGAGACATCCAACACGAATGAAGATCAACCTCTATCAACATGTTCTGAAGGAATACGCACACCGATATGCATTGAGGGATCAAGTAAGTTAGCTTTAGGAGGCTATGGGCCCAACTCAATTGTGTCAATCCTTTTGTATCGTTTGTGGCAAAAGAAAAGAGTAATTAATGTTGTGAACTATTGTTTTTTGTATTAATGTCGTGAAACCTGCATGACTGCCGTCTTAGGTGAGAGCGTGTCTGGCGAGAGTAGATGCTTATTTGTGAAAACCTCGCCTGTTTGGAAGATGATTGAATCAATGGAAATTTTCCAAACAACACCACAAAATCCACATTTCATTCCTCTTCGGGTGTGTAAAGAAGGATATCGTGAAGGAGCAGCTATTGGCATCATGGCAACTTTTGCATCTTTGACTGATAAAATATCCAACCTGCTATTTGATGACCTGAGATGCCATTTTGATAGCTGCCTGGAGACTCTTTGTGACATGGAAAAACATGGATTTGAGGTTACAGCTCTGCGGAGTCACGTGAACGAGTTGCTAGCAATTAAGGAGAAGCAGGAACTGCTTCAGGATGGGTTAAAGGACACCGAACTTGAAATTGCTGACAAGGAACGCAAGAAGAGAGAAATTAGTGAACAGATGCAAGAAATTGATAAGAAGATGACTGAGTTGCAAGCAAAATATGCAGTGCTGAAGTCAGAAAAGGAGAAAAAAGATGTCGAGATCGCTCGGTTGAGGATGAGCTTGAAAGGCAACAATGAACAAATTTCAAGTGTGCGGCTTAAGTTTGAACAATTGGCTGCTCTTCTCCCTTGGAAATTTAACTGATTATCAAGATCTTGAGGTTTGTTGTCTTGGGTCTCGTAAGTGTTAGTTCATGGTAGAGTTTTGTAGTATTTGCTTGGAACATTTGCCTAGTAAAGTTCATAGTTCTAATTGGAGTAGTTGAGAATGTATTTATATTCCTCTCTATCCAGTAGACTAGGACCCTTGTAACCTTTTCCTATCAACGTAGTCGAGTCTTACTTTAAGATTAGAAATATTTATATATGATGCATGCCATCGAAATGCAAACGTTTCATGTGGCCTGATTTGTCTTTCACCAGAGATTCTGCCTGATTTTGAGCCATTAAACACGACTTCAAAATGCTTAGAGAAACGGAGCTGAAGTAAATTATGGATCGTCACGTGATTTGTGGCGAAAATGGACATTTTCCCACATGGATTTAGATTGATTTCTATGCCTCATGTTTACTGGAGTCTAGCTAGCAATGAGTTTTGAATGTGATGGTCGATATGATTTTGATCTCCGGATGCAAAAGTTCCCAATCTCACCTTTCTTCACGTTGGCACAGAATCTCCTCATGAAATACTGTAAATCGTAGACGCTTGGTCGATCAATTTACGATGAGGCCAGTTCGATTAGGTGAAACTCAAACTTATAAATTTTCCATGAGTCCGAATGAACCAGGAGAGAAATGAGTGCAGGTGGTTGGTTGATGTTCTTGAATTTATTAGGTAGCTGTTCCATCTGTTTCTTCTCCTCTGTTTTTCTCTTTTCTTCTCTCTTTGATGAAAGTGAGGTCCTCGATCCATCCGTCCTGATGAAAATGAAAGAGAGACAAGACCCACCAAGTATCGCTCACGTTGTTTGGATGAGAAGAGAAAACGGGTTGAGCTTAATACATAAGATAAAACTTAATGTTGTAATACAAACAATGTGTACATCAAAGTCATTCTCATTTTGTGAAAATACCCGGTCCTCATGGATGAGCTACGCACGCAGCTAAATTACATTTATTTAACTTGCGAAATGTTGATAATTGCATCGCAGCATGAAAATACTAACAATTACATGAGGACGAAAGCAAATCTATCATCTCTAAATTTACCCAGTTCGTCAACAAAAGAGAAAAATGGAAACTAATGACTGTTATTTAGAAATACTATGTCAAATTAACTAGTAAGAGGTTCCTTCATACAAGTTCTCTGGCTCTCCTCCTTAGGCAAATTATGAGCCCTCCCCTTTTAGCTGACTGTTGCCAATAGCAGCACCAAGTTGCTAAATTCCTGACGGGACAAGCGCATTAAAAATCCTAAAATTTGTCATGAAAGTATAATTGAATCCTAAAACATTCAAAAAGTGCAATCAAGTCCTAAAATTTATCATGAAAGTGTAATCAAGTCGTAAAACTTTCAAAAAGTGCAATCGAATCCTAAAACTTATTGCGAAAATGCAATTAAGTCCTAAAACTTTTAAAAAGTGCAATCAAAAGAAGAACTTAATTGGACTAACTTGACAAGTTTTAGGATTCAATTGCATTTTTTGAAAGTTTTAGGACTCAATTACACTTTGTAACAAGTTTTAGGACTCAATTGCACTTTGTGACAAGTTTTAGGACTTTCAATGCATTTATCCCATTCTTGATCGAGAACATTTGACTATGTATAGAAAGCATGAAATTTGAATGGAAGTGAATGGCAACATATACAAAGTGCGATACTGGGAGATAAAAGTTAATCACCGACACTCACCAACTTAATCCCAAACATATCCCCTACCTTTATAGGGTTCGGTAAACGTAATCTCAAACCCGTCCCGCTATCAGGAGTTCGATTGCACACCTACCGCATTTAAGCAGTTCAAAAACCGAATCTAACTCGACAATCTACCATTGAAAGAAATAAGAGAGGAGAGAGAGAGAGAGTGTGTGTAGAAGTTACAAAGATGAGTCGAATGCTCAAAATATCAGTAATCACTTGCATCTGTTCATTTTTCCCCTTGTTACCAAATGCATAAGAACCTATGGATGCTGTCAAGGCACGATAAATTTGCATATAATTGATGACATGCTATTTTAGATGAAAATATTCTTCTTCTATTCAGATTTCTCTTCTCGTAATCACAAAGAATTACATAGTTCGAGGTTGTGGCAATATATCCTCGCAGAACAAAACGAATCAAAGATCGTGTGGATTCATTCTATTGTTTTTGTGATGGTTAATACCATGAAAAAAGTAGCCGCAGTTTGCGGCTACTGTTTCTAAACAGTCAGTCAGTTGATTCAAAACATGTTATTAATCCTACCTTTCCTTCTTCAGAGCACTAATGCTTGACGACTGCTAAATATCGACTCATATCTACTCGACAGTCCGGTCTTCTTTTAGCAATTGCCTCTTTAGTCCAACTTTCATCGAAACCTGACTTCAACTCACCCATCGATTGTCAACGCCTTGTACTCATATTCGATTTAATCTAATCCTTGGTCCATTTGGTTAAGCATTAATCAAATTGGTACTTTGACTGGAAAAAAAGAGAGAGAACATTAAGCATTTCACAACTCATTTGCAGTAATATAGATGCAAGAAAGCACTCTAAATATATACTACTATAATACTCTGTATCTCATCCTTTCTATTTTGTGGCATATCATGCCAATCCAAGAAATTTATAGGTGCCAAATGTGAGATTCTCATTACGGTACCAATAAATTCCGCAAGAGTAACTTCTCAAAACTGTTGGGACGGGTATGCTAATGCTGTCGATAATGTTATAGTGGTTTAAAATTCTATCGCGATAGTAATTCTAGACGCCATCAAATCCTCCTTAATATGACAGATAAGCGTCCATCGGGTAAAATGGTGTCGGTAAATGTCATTTTTTTTCATGGTGCACGACTAGACAGAGCTCTAGTGAATGTGGAACGGAGAGTTGTTTTCCCTGCAGCAGAGGCTTATGAACTTCCATCACTAGGCTCGGATCACCATCCTTTAATTCGAAGCAATCAGTCTAGAGGATGAGGATTCTCAGAGAATTGTAGATGAGGTCCGGAGATCTACAAGGCTTAACCGAGCCCCATTAGCAGCAAAGTGAAAGGAAGCAGCGGATGCATTATTGAAGTGGAGCAAGCATCCAGAATTTATTGGCGGAAATGGGTAGATAAGAATACAAAATTCTTTCATGCGACACACAATTCAAAGGAGACAGAGGAATCGATTTCCGAAAAATCAATGAGCAGAGACCCCACAGTCCTTAAAAATCAGACCCCACAGCTTTTCTAGAATCTTTACTGCTCATAAAGGTGCTGCAGCTTCCATCCAGTTCTTGAAAATTGCTCCAGTACAGTGACATAAGACATGAACAGGTCTCTCAGACAGCAAGCGATGGTCTAAATGTGACTCTTTTATCAGCATAACCAGTCAGTGCTTGAAGAAGATGTAGTCAGAGAGGTGCGACAGTTCTCTGTCACCGGGAAATTTACACCCTCCCCGAATAGGACCCAAATCACCCACATACCCAGGGTGCCAAGCCCAAGAGATTTTAGACCAATTTCGACGTATAAGCTTATGCCATTTTGCATGTAAGGTTTTGCCATAGTCATGGCTAATAGGTTGAAACCCTGGTTACCTGCACTTGTTTCCAATGAACAAAATGCTTTTGTACACGGAAGACAAATTCAAAATAATATATCGGTCGGACAATAAGCCATTCATCAACTGAGAATTCGAAGAAGGAAGAAAGCCACCCACGACCACGTAAAATGAGATTCCCTGAAGCGCAGGTGAATTGGGTCATGCAATGTGCGAAGACCGTTACAATGAGCGTTAAGGTGAATGGCGAGTCTCTCCCTTACTTTCGACCTACGAGGAGACCCTCTTTCCCCGTATCTTTTCATTTTTGTTCGCAAAGGTTCTGTCGATACTGATTCAAAGCTGGCATTGAAGGCTCCATCAAAGGAATTCAACTGAATCGTCATCGTCTTGCACCTTCCCATCCACCGCTTCCTTAATGCCCAACTGTTTGCTGACATTCGTAAAAACCAGTGCTCTCATGTAGTGTCCAAAACTCTCATACGGAAACATGATATGTCCCTCACATCTGCCGGTCATTACGACTCTGTTAATGAGGCTTGTCAAAGTGGGTAAAAGTGTAATGGCATGTATACCATCAGTGGTCCTGGAAATGGGTGGGATGATACTGATGCACCTTGTTTCAATTAATGGAGGCCCCGCTTTGCATTTGCTTTCAATGCGCCCCGCGATCCTGCGGGTGGCTTTGTTGATGGCCACGCATTAACGTTGTAGCCGATTTGATTTCTTTCTCCCCTTTTTTCCCCCATTAAATTCGAACGCAATAAGTTAAAAGACATGCCACTAAAAACCATATATTATGCACATTGTGATACATTTATCTTAATTTTTTTTTCATGACACAAAAAATCTCAAATTTGTGCCTGTTTAACATATTTATTCTCCATCAAATTTTTTTTAATGAGAACTGTTAAAAATTTACCTATATAGACAACTGAAAACAAACAGTATTGACATGGCGCCCACGTAGCTTAAGTGAAATAAAAATGACGTTGTTTTGGCTGAAAAATCATCTAACGGAATCTAGACAGAAAGTAAATATGTCACGTAGGTGAGAAAAAATTTAAGGTAAATGTATTACAATGGGTACAGTTTAAGGTTTTTTTGTGTTCTTTTTCCTAAGTTAAATAGATGACAGCACAGTAAAAGTTGTATCGGCCTTAGTAAAAATTTGATAGACGAAACATTCTTCGAGACGATCCGATGCTCTTGGAATGCGGGACACTCCATTAATGTAAAAATAAAGAAAAGGATAATGTGTGCATACTTGATTTGTTTATGTCGTGTTTATAGCCAGACTCTTAAATTCTAGGCACATGCACCAGGCCACGATCTCGTCTATGACAGAGAGATTTCTCTGTCGATCTCGTGAATTCTAGCGATTCTCCAATCAAGTAGACGATGGTTTCTTACAAATTGATGAGAAAATGACCGCGATGTGCTTGTTCAACATAAACACGACGGTTTCCTAGTAATTTCTACAACGTGTTCTATTCAACTGATTTGTGAGGGTCACACTAATGATTGGTCATCCTCAGTTAATTGATAATAATGAGGATTAGGTGGGGTAGTTCATGTGTGGGGTGAAGCAACACCCCCTAGTTTCTTAATTTATTTTAGTTAGCAGTTGAATGCTAATCAATCAATGGGATAAGTGCACTCAAAATCTTAAATCTTATCGGAAAAGTGCAATCGAGTTCTAAAATTTTTAAAAAGTGCAATCAAGTCCTTCTG